TATTAGATTTAAATTTAAACATCATTGTAAATATGTAAATTATATGAGTTGTAATACTGTAAAACGAATAAAATTTAATTAAGTAGCAAATAAATTAAGTTTTAATTAACTGTGTTTTCGTAGTAGAAAGAGCTGCGCGATCTTATCACGCGAAACTAGGAACGTGAAACGTAAGGAGCATCGATATTGCCTTTAGTAAATAAAACTTAAATCGTTTTATTATTTATCCAATTATGAAAAAAACTCTATTACATTAAAATATGCAGTCCACTTTGCTTTCATGCAAAGTTTCTAAATAAATTAATATATTGAATGTTGAAATATATGGTGGTTTTCTATAAAAAATTTGCAAACTTCAAATTGTATCTTCTCGATATTCTACATATTAAACTAATTAGAACTTTTGCGTGGAAGCATAATTGATAGTATATTTTAATAAGACGAGGAGTTTTTTTTATAACCCAAAAATAATTTAAATTACGCTATTGCCGTAGTATTTTTATTATTAATTTGAATGTAATAATTTATTATATTGAGAAATATAAAAAAAGCTTCTCATTTTATAATAATATACTATTCATTATGCTTTTACGTGGAATTATTAAACAGTTTAATATGTAAATACAATTTGAAGTTTGCAAATTTTTGGTAGAAAATTGTTATATATTTCAATATTCAACATATTTATCTATTTAGTAATTTTGCATGAAAGCATAGTGAATGTATATTTTAATGTAATAAAGCTTTTTTTATTATCCAATAAATAATAAAATAAGTTAAATTTTATCGAAGTTATACTGTTGCTATAGTGTTTAATTTGAATATTACAAAAAAAAATTTATTGGTTATTTTTTACTAGCAAATTATAATAAATTTAATTTACATAGTGCATTTATACATATTTTTAATAAAATATAAAGAAATTTACAAATAAATGAAAATAATTACAAATAAAAATTCAAATAAAAATAATTATAAATAGAGGTCTGATATTTGAAAATTATTACAAATAAAAGCCTAAATAATTGTATGTTTAAAAATCTATAATTTAGTTCTGTTTTGATAATTTTTTTTTTTTTAAGATGACTTCTTTGATCTTTTGACTTTTATTACTGACTTTTTTGGTAATGTGATTATGAACTATTACAGGAGAGTATACAATTGATTACATGTGTAACTTTTCTATATTACCTATTTAAGGAGTCTGTCCAAAAGTTCTTCACTAATTGTCATACCTAACACCCTTGCTTGGATGTTCTACTTTAAAATTTCTGAATATGAAATCTGTGTTAACATCACTGAATTATACTAGATCATCATCTCAATCTTAGAATTATTTTATCCTTAAGGTAAACCTCCCAAAGTTTTCTGTACTCATTTTTATAACTAACCTAAGTATTGTTATAACAGAACTAATATTTATAATTAAAATTATATTATTTAATCATTATGCTCTTATAGAGTTCACTTAAACCTTAGTATCTACTTTACAATATAACCCTAATACTTTAGTATATTTCTACTTTTTGTTCAGACTCTTAATCCAGATAATTCATATAAGACTATAACCAGTTTATCAGTATATCAGATCAGCCTGATATTCTTTTCTTCTAGTTTATTCAGTAACCTGATTACTATAACCTTGATATCCGTTTTCTTAGGCTAGTCTTTACAGTAGTGTCATCAAAGATCTGGTTGTCTTTCTACTCAGGTCTTCTCAGATATTACATATGCATTATGTACAGTAGCTAAGTACCTTCAGAAAATATATCACAGTTGTACAAAAAAGCTTAACATAAATTATTGTTATGCATAAAGTACATGTACAAAGTTGAATTTGTACGTACAGTATCCTCAGAAAATTTATCATAATTATACAAAAAACTTAACAAGAATTTTATAAATATGCAAATTTAGCAATATATTATCATTACACAAATTAATAATATGCAATACATCAAGATGCAATTATTACAATATATATCAGATATTAAGTGTATTAGTATCTACAACTATAGTCTCCATTAGCAATAACTTCGGCAATATGATTTGACATAATATTGATTAAATTTATGAAAATTGATACATCTATCATGTTCTATTTTTCTAAAAGAATAATTTTCAATGTTTTATATGTTCTTGGTAGCAGTCTTCATTACTAAACATTATCTTTTAATATTTTCCAAATGTTTTCTATTAGATTGATATTTGGCGATTGTGCTGACCATGGAAAATATTGAATATTTTCAGATTCCATCTAATTTCAAGTATATCTTGACTGATAAATGGGAGCATTATCATCTTGGAAGATTATATTATTTCTATAGTTGGCAATTAATTCATGTCAAAAAGATATTAAATTTTCGTTCAATACTTCTACATATCTTTGTGAGTTTATTGCACCAATACTATTCCTTTCTTTCATAAAAGCCAATGACCCTCTTTTTTCTCTTGCGAAACATCCCCATACCATTATACTTCTTCTCTATTTCTAAATATTGATATCATGTTGTGTGATTTATAACAGTCATTATTTTTTCTTCATATGAAATTTTGTCGTGAACAAACACCAATCTCAACTGATGATTTATCACTAAAAATAATCTTCTGCCAATCACTTACACTCCAGTTTGCATAGGCAATACACCAAGCAAGTCACAATTCTGTCTGTCTTGAGGTCAAACCTAGTTTTTTTGCAATTATACATCCCCAAATTCCATTTCTGTGTAAGATGTTTCTTGTCGTTTCTTGTGAAATATTAATTTCATTATTACTCAATATTTCATGAAGAGATAACTTATTATAATTAATTGTTGCATTAATAAGATTTTATTCATCTTCATTAGTAAAGATCAATGATCTTCCTGAACATAAAGCAGCTTCAATACTTTCTCACTCTCTAATCTGGATTAAGAATTTAGATACTGTAGTATGGTCACGGCCTATTTCTTCAGCAATAGAAGTTAAAGTAACTTCAATATTATACATTCCAATAATTTGTCCTTTTTCAAAGTCAGTTAAATAAGTATTTTTAAGCATGGTTTAATGAAAGTAACTTATTGATAATAACGAAAAATTTTTTTGCTTTTTTTTTCTTTATTTATTGATAATGATTAATGACATGATACATAATGATTTCTTTCTTTTTCTTTATTTATCGTATGATTAATGACGTGGTAATGATTAATAATGCAATTGGCTTACACAATTTGCGTATATTATACATTTGCATAAAATTTTTGTTAAGCTTTTTTGTGTAACCGTGATAGACTTTCTGAGGATACTGTACGTATATCTAAACTTACGTATTACATGTACGTACTAATTTCTGCGTAACTGTTAAGCAATAAATTTGCCCATTTAGAAATTTATGTTAAGTATTTTCGTGTAACCGTAATATATTTTCTGAGAGTACTGTACGTACGTTTATAATTGTTGTCTCGTGTAACAGTATGCATTACCTTAAATTTATAAGCAGATTCAAATCAAATTCTGAAAGGTCCAAATTCAAGTACGTATTAGCCAATTTAATTGATAATTTAGTGATTTAAAACTCTAAATATTTAATGAATGCAAATAAAAAATAATATAACTTGTCTGAGCCTTTTACTTTTATATATGCTAGCTCTCTTTACCCATAACTATGAAAACTTGCCAAGTATGCAGGAAACCAACTAACAAGCTTTGTTCTCGTTGCCATGAGGTATATTATTGCGGAACAGAACACCAAAAAAGCGATTGGAAAACCCATAAGCTTGTTTGCATTATCCAGGAAAAGAATGTAGATCCCAAAGAAGAGAAAATCAAAGAATATGACCCTTTTTATTATTCTAAGCTTATTGATGATAGTAAAAGTAAGCCTGAAGAACTTTAGCGTATTTATGGAGATTGTCCCAAATGTAAATCTGTTAGACATGATTTTATATATTGTCAAAATCGTGAATGCAAATATAGGAATATTGATAATATCAAGACAAGTGGAAATAAGGATTTAGACAATTTCATGAAGGAAACTTTATTGGATTCAACAATTCCTACGCGATTCAGATTATACTTGAGATGGATTCCTTATGAACGTTTAACATGCATTCAACAAATTGAAGAAAGTGACTATGCGGTGTTTATAAAGCCACATGGCTAGATTGTTTTACCTTATCTACCTATTTAGGTCGTGGACAAGTAGAATTGTTCGTCGCACTAAAAAAATTAAAGAATTCACAAGATATGTCAGAATATTCCTTGAATGATGTAAGTTGAATTCTTTAATCTATACCAATGAATATAATACCTAGTAATTAAATGTGTATTTATTAACAGATCAGAACCTATTGGGATAACAGTTGTCGTGATGGAAGCGTGTCTTATCTCGAATTGCGCGGAATAACTCAAGATCCTGAAACAAAGGAATATTTGATTGTAATGAGTTATGCTATTCATGGAGATTTGAAAAATCATTTAAGGCATAAATTAAACGATGTTTTATGGGGAATATATAATAATAAATCTAAAAGATTTAGCAATGCAATTGGATAGAATTCACAAAACTGGAACTGTACACTGTAATCTTCACAGCGGAAATATATTGATTTCGAATATTTCATTTGGTATGGGTAACTCGGAACTTCATGCGATTATTATAGGCTTTAGACACTCTTGTCCTGAAAATACAACAAAATCTGCTGTTCACGGAGTTCTTCCTTACCTAGCACCAGAGATTCTTAAGAAGCAGCCCTACACATCTGCTACTGATATTTATAGACTTGGTGTTATCATATTGTTGGGTTCGGAAGATTGCGACTCTGTCGCTCCACAATTCAAATTGTCGCGTAACGTACGATAAGTAACCTTTTCGAAAGAGGGTGTTAGATTTGGCCGGTAGGTGAGTATTTCTTCTTCACTTTCTTCACTTGTACTATGGTTTTCCTTTCCTAAGCTGTCTACTAACTTTAATCCTCAATTACCTCACTACTTCGGGTAATTGGACAATACGTATAACCTCAACTATCACACTTCTTCGGATAGTTGGAACGATACTACCACGGCTGATCCTGGTACTTTAGGATGCAACAGCCGGATGGGGTTTTTACAATATTACGGGATAGAACAGATAACTATAAGAAGCGGGTTTTTATGGTCTGTAATTTAGCGATTAGTTAATGTATTAAAGGAGACGTTTATGTATTTATTATGATGTAAGGGGCCAGTTATTATTTTAAT